ATGATGTAAAGATATTCATTCATTTAGCGTGCTGCAAATATCAAAATTTTCATTTCAGCTAAATGAGATTTTTTCTAATTGTAAATGCCCAACTTCTGATAATGACGATTGATGCGTGAATTCATATTAGTTTTTAAACGCTACATCATTACATTTGATTTACAAATGTTCACCTCGATATTCTGTCCATTGTTGTCAACGCTCATAATACTTACCTATGATCTTCCAATGAGTTCACAGAAATTTATGTTAAGCTGATGATTCAGTTCGCTGAATGCAAGTTAGGTGTTTTAATCAGAGCAACAGAAGCTCTTTTCGCTTGCCGTGAGTTAACAATTACATTAGAATTGTATGAATTAGAAAAGTTCAGGTAACTTTGATGCTAAAATTTCCTTATACTGTATACACATTCCTGATTCTATTCATTTGTATTATTATATTATATTAGTTAACCATTAGTTAGTTATCTTGTTCTAACTATCTTTATACTCAGTTCTTATTCAGTTAGTATATAAACCATATGTTCTTATTAGGATTTGTAAGAAATTGAATCTAATATTTTGATGATTTTTCGTCTAAATTTGTGAATGAGTCGCATAATGTTCTCGGTATTTCAATTAAAAAATCAAGCAATTCCTCTTGTGGCGAACATTTTTCTTTTACTCGCGTAATATATTGTCTTTTACGCATGTAGGCTTAAGAACGTCAAATATCATTTTGAATAACAGACTTTTATTTGTCAGTGTTCATTCACCCGCAACCTTCCATTTGTTTGATTGCTAGTTAGCCTTTTTTATGAGAAAATTTATTTGTTCGTTTAAAAATTGGTCCCCATTAGAGATAAAATCAATCCTTCCATATCGGTGCGTTCATATGGGAGCGTTTACTCAAGATAGCAGACGCTTCAGACGAGCTTGCTTCTTACCATCAGTCGATAAACGCATAAAAACATTTCAATAAAATCATTTATAACCCATCTTCCAATTAACCCACATAAATATCCATTAATTGAGCTTGCAAGAAAATCATTTATAACCCACCCTACAATTAACCCCCATAAATATCCATTAATTGAGCTGACAACTCACTCAACTTAAATTTATCATGGTCTTTTTCGATTCCACATTTAATAATTAATATTTTAACAGCAGAATGTTACCATGCTTTGAGTAAAAAATTTCATTTAGCCTGTTAAAATACAGACAAACTACTGAATACTGAATTTAACTTAACATCAGTTTCTTCATCAATATGAAAACCAAATGTATGAAAACACCCTATTATTAAATCGCTTGTTACCTATTTTAGAAATTTCTTCAAGAGAAAATCCCTAGAGGCGTCACGTCGAGATCGTCTAGTACAGCAATACTGACCTGTCACAGGCCCACGCTCGCCCGCGTTCGAATGGCACCAAAAGTGTTGTCTTCACCGAGTTTTTGCCTTCGTCTTGACATTGGCAGGGCGAAGAAGATGCTTTTACAGCTGCTAGAGCTATGGCACGATTTGCACAGCTGTTAAATGCTACGCCGATGCTCTCTGGCCTTTTATCACGTCTGCCACTGATATGTTAGTGCGCCGGAGATCACGTTAATGAAAACTGGCCATAAGACTTCGCTCACGACGCGTCAACAGTCATTAACGAGGGAATACATTCCGTTTTTTTTCAAGGCTTCGCTACCTCATGGCAGCCGAAATCGAGAGCAATGTTTTAGAATCAAAGATAATACTTCAGCTCCTTGAAACGTTATTATCCTTTGAGTAATTTAAAGCGTCATTTTTTTTAGTAATTTGAATGGATGGATTTTTATCAACTTCTAGCGACAAGTGAGAATTACCAAGAGAATGTAATCGCGAGCCATGTTATATTCATATTTATTTTCGGCCATAGTTTTTAGGACATGATATAAACTTGTAATGACTATGTTGTGTCTTGACGATGCATTTCATAGGAAGAAAGGGAAAGGCATTCAACCGTTGAGAAACCAGAAACGTGTCTTCGGGAGTCAGAGATTTTTTATATATTTTATTCTTTTTCTAGCCTCAAGCACAATAAAACACTAGTTTGATTGTAGTAGATTTGACTTTGTTTAAATCTACTTTTGTTATGATTTCTGTCATTTGGGTTACGTGGGATCTTGTTCATAAACTAGGCTTTGCTTACAGACGATCGAATTACATTCTCACGATTTCATTTCTTACCCAAATAATTATCTGATTAATTTGGCAAAATTTAGTCCATATCGTGAGTTAGAGATCGTTATCGCCTTCAATATATAATAAATGGACAGCAGTAATTTGATTCTATGAATTTTAGTCACTTCCGCGTGTGTCATTGATAGATTAGAATTTATTTGGTTATCAGATGATTCAGCTAGCGTGACGATGACACGCAGCAACCGGTCCCGCTTAACGATGATCTCAGTGAACATCTAAATGCATCAGTCATAGGAACAGCATAGATTTGTTATCAGTAGAGAACGTTCACACTGCCTACGTGATGTGGGTTGCATTTCAATGGATGATCTAGAACGCGCACGTGCCAGGCATCACGCGCGCCTCGACCTCTCATTATTGAGTCATACCTTGTGAGAGCGGTCGGAGTTACCAAGCTCGACGCAAAGTTCAACATAGCGTTGGCTTGTTTGTATCCATTCCTTGAGCGCCTCTCATGAGTGCATGAGTTGCTAAAGACGCGATTGAGCGTCGATATGATTGCATGCCATTAGGGTAAATTTGCTGTTGGGTGACCTTCATGGCCTGCTAAATATAGATCAACATCGATATCGTGATCGCTTTTTGCAATCATGCATAGCTTTCCCGATACTAGAAAGGTTCGGACTCATTCTTTCTTACTTTCATATATCCTGGGTTTTCCCATTAGAAGAGTAACATAAACCAATGAAACCTAAGCACAATTAAAGTCTTAATTAAAGAGTTCTCAATCTTTCTGTTTTAATCTCTGATGCTAAAAAAAGAATCTCTTGGAACCTCTGATGATTTTGAGCGACAAAAATCTCTCCGATGTTTACTCGTGATCAGGTGATGTGGTAGTTGAATTTATGCTTGCATCTTCATGGGTCCCGTGATCTGAAGGCAAAGTTTGCGCTTTCGTGGCGCCGGTAAAGCCTCGTGCAGGTGGAAATCTGTCGGCACGCGCCTAAACAACTTCATGCTAATGAGTGCCAGACGGGCCGCATGTTTGGCCTCAGTTGTGCCAGGCGAGCCTCGTGTTTGGCCTCAAAGTGAGAGCGTGAAAAATGTGGATTCGAGGCCACATTTTCCTTGGTGTTCCAGAAGTCGAGGTTTATATAATGCTTGTGATGTTTCGTGGAAGGCTTAATTGGCTTTGTTAAAAGTGGGAAATGTTTCTCACCGGACAATTTTTTATATTTTTTTGTAGGTATTGATTTTCTTGAATTTTTGTAGCGTTAGAGTCGCATTTGGTGGAGTCAATCTATCGCTATATCTATTATGCTTTATTAAAAATTTTAGCTATTTCCTCATATGCGAATGTAAAGTTGACAATGAATATTTATTGATGATTTCTGTTGATTTTGCCTGCCTAACGGTCTCATAAAGTGTTTATTCTGTTTTAAATTTTACAGCTACGCTCGAAACGGGCCCATGAACAACACAAATTTGTGAAACCACAGAGATAATTGATTCTCTTTGCACGGTCATTTGTACACGGCGTTGATTGGGAGTGGGAGGTCTGGTCATAAATGAAAATTCGCACTGTTAACTGTGGGAATTTTTGTATAAATAAAGGCATGAATAGTTCATAAGAGGCTTACAATTGGCTACAAGGAAATGGAGTGAATCAGTAATTAATACCGTATTGTTGTAAAATTAACAATGGAATGTTCTGTTAAAACTTATGAATAGTTAAGATAAGGTACATACTCGTCAACTGGAAATAAAACGTAAGGATGTTACTTCGTTTAGAAAATTTCAGCCACAATGCGGCAATTTCCTCAACTGTTTTGCATGCGATAAATTCTGTCACGCAAAGAAATTTATTCATGTTATCGGCTGGTGAGTAAAAAAGTTCATAAAAGCCATTCAAACATTTAAATTGTTATTTTACCCAGTGTGTTAGAAGTAAAGAATTAGCTATTTTATTTGTCTCGTGGTTATTTTTTCGGTTAATTGAAATAAATATTACAACAAGAAATTATTAGTAAATGTCGTGTAGCCTTTTGGTGGGAGAGATCATGCAAATATATAATATGTGCAGCTAAACGCACGTAAATTAAATATAAGTTGACCGGAAATAATTTTCCTAGGGTCCTGCGTATCCGACAAGATTTTAATAATTGATTTGGTTTGTCTACTTTACTACTTATAAATGCCTAAATCTCTCCAATTAACCATTTATACAAATTTATTTTGCAAGGATAATTATTTTAAGGCTTACTTTTTAGCGCCGCATTTTCTTAATTATTAAAAAAATATAACTCAGTACTCACTGCAGTGAGTGACAGAGAGCGCATTTTCTCGTCGTCGAAAACGTGGTCACGCACAGACAGACAGACGGACAGACAGACGGACAGACAGACGGACATGACGAGCACAATAGGGCATTTTTCCATAAATGAGAAAATGCGCTAAAAAGGCGCTATTGTGCTCGTCATGTCTGTCCGTCCGTCCGTCCGTCCGTCCGTGAATTCATGGTTTCGTCGACTAGAAAATGCGCTCTGTCACTCACTGCAGTGAGTACTGAGTTTTAATTTTTTGTGTAACTCTGATTCTCGTTGCTATCTTTCAATTTCATTTAACTTTCACTTTCCAGCATTGGAAATTGTCGACAGGAAAGGACCCAACCGCAATGAAGGCTCACGAGTTTTTTTTTGCTAGGAGTTTGAAGTAAAAAACCTCCTTAGCCACTAACTAACGATTTAAATTATTTATAAGTTAAATAAAATGATGCATTTTTAAAGATACGTATATTAATTTCATTTAATATTCAATTGAGGTATTAAAATTGTAAAATATTTCAGAGCTTGAGTCGCACATTACGGGCTGAGGCTGCCGGACGTGATGACGCCGGAGTCGCTTCTGCTGCAGCGGAAAATCGAAATTTGCACGCCACCGAAAATTTTGAAAATTTTCGAATTTCGAAAATTTTCACACTTGCCGGAGTTGCGGGAGACACGAACAAATTAATCGAACGGAACAGAAAGAGGTACGAAGATTATGCCTCTGCAGGTGACATGTACATATGCTAGAAGTGAACGTTTTCTGAGATATTGTGTTTAACTCTCAGGTAGCTCCAATAATTGTATTTATTTCAATGCAAACAGAGCTTGTCTCACGATCAAGGCATAAGCATTTTACTTAGTAAATGTTTGCATTGATTCATAAATATTATTCATCGATTGACGCATATGACGTTGTCAATGAGGAGAGTTTGTAGAGGAGAGTTTTCCCTTGAGTATTTGAGGTTCCATATGGTCTCCTACTTCAATTTATTACGTTAATTTATTGTTGCAAGCAATCATGTGATTATTTGATCTGCTAATTAAATTTTTAAGTAAAAAATATTCGTACGAAAGAGGACCAATAAAAAAATTCCTCGGAATTATAAAATTAGACCACTTAATTCTTCTAAGAAACACACACCAAAAAACATTCAGACAACCTTGACAAATATATTTAAGATTGTGATAGTTTATTTGTTCGAAGCATGGCACTGTAAACGCGTTTAGGGTCTGTACGTTCAGGTCTATGATATTTATCCCGTCAGAATTTACCTGTGAACAATTTTTTACTGTGGAAAAAATGGGTCAAACATTGAGAATGGGGTCAAAGTTAGATTTAAACATCTAAATATGATTATTTTCGGCAAGTGTAAATTTCATCAGAGTAAACAATTAGTGTTGCTTATACATTAGCAAAATAACATGAGTGAAATTGCAGGTCCGTTATAAATGTGAGTTTTAATGCGTTTTTAAAGTATCCCCTTTTTGAAATTGTTAAATGGATTCACAATAACGGTATTCAGGTTGGCGGTCTTAGGAAAACGGGATTCGGGATGGCGGATTCAAACTAATGGGGATTCTTATATTATAGGGATTATCTGAACAGGGCAATACATGGCTTGTTAGTATATACTATGTATTTATGTTTTTTTTTGCGTGGGCTTACGAGGTTTACGAATTCTGACCCTCGGAATAAATAAGACTGATCGAGCGGCTATCCGCACTGCCGATCGGATATTGGCCGGCGGTGTATTTTGATATTATGTGATGACATTGTTTAACGAGGGGTTTACTGACAGATGGATAAATAATAAATAGACGAACTTACATTCTAAAACTTTATTCACAAAAGATGCTTTACAATTTCAATCCAATTTCAGAAATGAGTTAACGATTTTAGTCGGCAAATATTTAGGTCTATCGTTAATTAACATTGCTTGAAGATCGCATTTCAATCCCATGGAAAATGTAGCAATTTTAACAGGGTGTTATATCCATCCCGCCCAACGCCGGACTCCGATCGTAACATAAGCTATAAATAAGAACTAAAACGATTGACTTTATAATAGCTCGTGAAATATTTTGAACTTAATTTTGCATGATGTATGAATAATTTAGTCATGATTTTGTTTCTTCCCATCAGCTGCGCCGAGAGTTTTGTCGCTGATGGAATGCTGGTGCGCCGCGGCCTGAACTGCTGCTGGTTGCTTAGCTGACTGGGTCTCCAACTGACTGGGTCTCCAGCTAACTGGGTCTCCAGCTGACTGGGTCTCCAACTAACTGGGTCGCCAGCTGACTGGGTCTCCAACTGACTGGGACTTTAGCTAACTGGGTCTCCAACTGACTAGGTCTCCAGCTGACTGGGTCTCCAACTGACTTGGTCTCCAGCTAACTGGGTCTCCAACTGACTGGGTCTCCTGCTGACTGGGTCTTTAACTGACTGGGTCTCCAGCTAACTGGATCTCCAACTGACTGGGTCTCCAACTGACTGGGTCTCCAACTGCTTTGGTCTCCAACTGACTGGGTCTCCAACTGCTTTGGTCTCCAACTGACTGGGTCTCCAGCTGACTGGGCCTCCAACTACACGGGTCTCTAACTGACTGGGTCTCCAAGTGACTGGGTCTCCAACTGACTGGGCCTCCAACTGACTGGGCCTCCAACTGACTGGGTCTCCAACTGACTGGGTCTTCAACTGACTGGGCCTCCAACTGACTGGATCTCCAACTGACTGGGTCTCCAGCTAACTGGGTCTCCAACTGACTGGGTCTCCAGCTGACTTGGTCTCCAGCTGACTGGGTCTCCAACTGACTGGGCCTCCAACTGACTGGGTCTCCAGCTGACTGGGTCTCCAACTGACTGGGTCTCCAACTGACTGGGTCTCCAACTGCTTTGGTCTCCAACTGACCGGGGTCTACAACTGACTGGGTCTCCAACTGCCTGGGTCTCCAGCTGACTGGGTCTCCAACTGACTGGGTCACCAACTGCCTGGGTCTCCAACTGACTGGGTCTCCAACTGCCTGGGTCTCCAACTGACTGGGTCTCCAACTGCCTGGGTCTCCAACTGATAGGGTCTCCAACTAATTGGGTCTCCAACTAACTGGATCTCCAACTGACTGGGTCTCCAACTGACTGGGTCTACAACTGACTGGGTCTTCAGAAGACTGGGTCCCCCAGCTGACTGGGTCTTCAGAAGCCTGGGTCCTTCAGCTGACTGGGTCTTCAGAAGACTGGGTCCCTCAGCTGACTGGGACTCTGCACTGCTGGGCCCGTCTTGTCGTCTGGCCCCAGCTGTGCACGGCTGGGCCCGCTGGGCTGCCGAGTATGCTGCGGAGCCTGCCTACTTCCCGACTCGCTATAGTAAACATATTATTAATATATTTATAATGTATATTAATACTTAATATTGATACATGACATGATAAGCAAGAAGCATTAAGCTATATTCTTTTGCCGGGTGATTGCTATAGTGTATTAATTTTTCTACGTAATGAGTTTTAAATTTGCTCAACCCGTCCAGCGTGTTTACCACACAGAATTTATTTCGCAAAACAATGCAAATTAATATGGCATTGCCACTTCGTATCTTTCCTCATAAAATTTAATCTTTACACTCACAATTACACTGAGTTCAATGAATAAAGAATTTGGTGTAATAAATTAATGAATGAATACCGAATACTGATATGGGAACAATTCGGTCTTCAGCTCAGAATAACTTTTTTAATTATTGAGCAAAAGGAAGTTCTTAATAGAACGGAAGTTCATTTTATGAAAAAATCCACAAAATACATGAAAGAATGATATGAAAGCTGGCAGCTGCAGTTTGGAGTATGAGTTGCAAAGTTATGTTCTGTAATTATTTGCGTTACTTGTTCGAGAATTTTTTTTAACTTTGAATTCACCAAGATCATTTAGTTCAGTTATTTCGAGTGTGCGAATTTATACGTTCTTTCTCAACAAAAATATATCATTAAAATAGTTTTGCAAATTAATCAATGCCACTGAATATTAATCAATATTATTGAATTCTTACCAGTGACTCGCAAATGTGATAGGTTATAATTCACTAAATATTTCATTATTGAAAGATATCGAGATCGAATTCTTAGCAAAGCTGCGTCTGAAACTTTTAATGTGCAAACATAAAATTTGTTTGATGCTGCATGCAAATAATCATATAATAGGGCAGTGTAGACACATAATCAAAAAGTTTTGCGAGACTCAAAACCCTTTGAAACTCTGCTAAGATATTTTCTGTTGAAATATTATGATCAGAAATTGATTTAATTATAAAATGAATATTTTTATCTTAATATTTTCTACTATTTTCGTACTGACTTCAAACCAGAATTTGTGCAGAATTGAAACCTCGAACCAGAATAGAATTACAAACCAGAATTTTGAATTCAAATTGTAAAATATAAACTTGAATCATATATAAGACTTGACTCATTTCTCGCTTCTCCGATATGACATTTTTAGCGCATTTTCTCATTTATGGAAAAAATGCATTATTATGCTCGCCATGTCCGTCTGTCTGTCCGTCCGTCCGTCCGTCCGTCCGTCCGTGACTTCACGTTTTCGTCGACGAGAAAATGCGCCCTCTGTCACTCACTGCAGTGAGTACTGAGTTATATTTTTTATCCTTATTTGAGATTAAATTGTAATTAAATTTAATCCAAGTTGTGCAGTTGTAATTAAACCTTACAGGTGGCGCTGCTCTTGCTGCTCCTCACTGACGCTAGTCAGACACAGAGAAGTGATGCCCTAAGAAGTGATCAACATATGCGACAGTAAGTTAACTATCATGAAATTTTAACGTAAATATTGAGCTTTGTTCATGACATGATGATCGTAATTTAAGAATAAAGATGATAAATGATGATTTTCAAAATTAAATCATCAGATCAAATATTTAAAAATAATGTGCCATTTGTGCAATTCGCGCATGCAAATATTCTTAGATGACGTTAAATGTGTGAAACCAATTACTGACGGGAGTTTCAAAGAAGAGAAAAATAAAACAGTTTCAGTGCAAGTTTATTATTTAATCAGGTCATTTTATTATATATATTGATTAAATTTATCGTTGACTTATTAAATTATTAATGTTCAAAGCATCCAATTAAGTATTGCAGTTTGAAATTTCTTTTTCCCCATGCTTGTGAAATCAGTAAATCAAGCAGCAGCTTCTAGACAACTAGCATAAGGGACATTTTTCCTGATTAAAATCTTGGATAAATACACTGTTAGAAAAATTACCGTTAACGGTATTACCGGCGTTTCAGTGGCCGGTCGGCACGTGAAAAGAAACGCCATGTCGCCGTTTTTATTCTAATTTGACACTAGAAATCCGTAAAACATCTGATAAAAACGGCGAAACAGTTTATTTCCACGGTGCGACCGGCCACTAGAACGCCAGGGGGGCCGTTTTTTCACCGTTTTTTCTAACAGTGTATGACAGCATTCTTGGGACCGTTGTACGATGTGTTACAGACTCGAGTCTCTTTAATGTATGAGTGTTTTTAAGATTTTTATTTTAAAACCACTGAAATTTATTTTATCTTATTTATTTTATGACTTTTATTTTAAATACAACAACTGCAATGTGGATCTGAAAAATTAATTGGCAATACTTTACGGATATTTATCACTTTAAATTATGCAAACCGCTGATATGATCACAACTTTCTCCGATAAGATACTGGTCCCCATTATCATTATTTTATGTCATACCGACTTGAAATAATTGTGCAGGATCGTGGACCGTTCACCAAACAAGCCAGCAAGAGATCTCAGCGCCGATCCGACCTCACATCTCAGTACGAACGTAATGCGCTTGCGACACGAGGGTCACTTACAGCGGTACGGCGGCTCTACCGCGGACTACAGCTTACGGGCAAATCGTATACACAATACTTATAGCCAGAGCGCTACCGACGTAGAACATTCGAAACGAGTCTCTTCGACGAGGAGAGACGGAAACGAACGAGATGAAAGAACGAATAGAGCTGAGCTTAATTCAAGATGGCAGCCCTCGGCAAGTCAATACTTGAACTCATCTTCGTTCCATCCATCTCATAATAATTTTCACCATAGAACTTCAAGCGTTGCGCGAAGCCCAGCTGATGAAGGTTCTCGACATAACAGTCAAAACCGCCAGGAAGTGGCAGATTTAGGAAGAAGCCGTCATTCAGTTATTAATGAGCCTTATTCGAGAATCAGAACTCGACCACATTATTCCTCATCAAGTTCACCCTATGGCAGCCCTCGAGTAGCATCACCTTTAACGAGGCCTGATCTCCACCGAGATGGAAGTTCAGTATTAGATAAGCCCGACGGGCGCTCCTCACACAATTTTAGCAATAGCAATAGAAATCAATATGTCCAAAATAATTTATCGCACAACTTGCAAAGTCAATCTTCTCCTCTAGTCTCTAACTCTCCTCATCTAACCGATACGAGAATTGAGCAGCAAAAGTCCAACTCGGATCCAACAATGGAAGACGAGGACACTCTAACTCGCAGAATAGATGAGATTATCCAGTCCAGACAAAGCAAAACGCGTGAGATTTCTAATGGGGAAACTGATGTCTCCCGAAAAATTAATGGGCTCGATGCAGGAGTTGTGCAGAAATCGTCTTCCTCAAATTCAAATAGAAATAGTCGAGCAGATGAACTCGAAACTGCGCTGACATCAACTCTAGATCGCCAGACCAGCCAAAGAGAAGAACAACCGGCGAATAAAGGAAGGCATCACAGGAGAGATAAGTCTAAAAAGAACAGAAACCGAAACCAGCGAAATCGAAACCAAAAGAGAAAGAAGAAGAAAGGAAATCGAAGGCGATTGGAGGCGTTAATAAAAGAGCACAGTTTGACAATACACGACGTGGAAGGAGAATCTTTCCTGGATTGCTGCCCTTCTAAATTGGTGGTCGTGGAGAAGCAAGTGGGCAAAGCACGGGACAACCATGCAGTCGAGCTGCATCCCGACTCTCAATACTTCTACGAACGCGTCTGTTTAGATCAATTTGAAGGCTCGGAATGTATTTTTCCTTCCAGAGCCGTCAAATCCTGGGTTAAAACTCGCTGCGCTCCAACATATTCATATTCACAAGTGAGTCATGTGATGTATTCAGAGACAGTTTTCGTTGCATTGTGTTCACAACAGCTAAATGGACTGACTGTCAAATATTTTAAGTTTTCAGCATAATTAGGTTTCTTGTTGAATTTTATAACTAGATTTTCTTATTAATTTCAATATTAGCTTGAACTAAAATAGCTGAAAGCTAGATGCGACTATTTTATTCACGTAGCATCATAACATTTACTGGTATTGGTGCGACGGTGCGTAGAAAAGACGACTTGTCGCTATACTATTTGATGACTCATCACGGTATCAAAGTTTCGTTTCGCCACGACCGATGGCAGTTCTTGTAACCACGTGGTGTTAAACATTGTTACTGATTATTGAATGGGATCACAAACCGCTGGCTGAAAGAGTGAATTTTTTTATTGGACCGTTATGATGTTTTCAATCGTTGGTGTGATGCTACACCTCAAAAACGCAAAACAAAAACAGGTCACTACACTATATGGAGACTTATTGTCGTCATCATAGAATGTCATTAATTAAAAAGTTTGCAGCCGATAGTACGAGTATATATGCCACTGGCCCACTTTTATGATGGCGTTATGACGTTTTCAAGCGCTGGTGCGACGCTACGGATACAACAGACAACTGTCCACCATACTATAGGGCGACTCATCTTTTTATCATGGAATAAAAAAATATATGTAGACAGTGGTTTATACCATTTTAATGATAACGTCATGACATTTTCAGGCGTTGGTGCGCCGCTACGGATACAACAGACAACTGTCCACTATACTATAGGGCGACTCATCTTTTTTATCATGGATTAAATAAATATTTGTAGCCACTGGTTTATACCATTTTAATGATAACGTTATGACGTTTTCAGGCGTTGGTGCGCCGCTACGCCACGACCGACGACTGGTCGCTGGACTACGTAGAGGTGAGCAGCGGCTGCTCCTGTCAGGTCAGCCTCGACGCCAGCCCCGACAGAGACTCTGGCGCCAGGAATAACTCCGCCTCGGCACTTGCAAGAAACTAAGTGCAACCAACGTCTGAATAATCTCATTATTATGACTGCCTATCTTTATTGTATTGAATCAAAACCAATTACGCGGTAATAGGTGATTGATTTCTTATCATACACTCTGAGGAATAATACAGATATTCAACGGAAACGATATACAGTATCTGTTGACAAGCGCCAGGAATCACTCCGCCTCGGCACTTGCAAGAAACTAAGTGCAATCAACGTCTGAATAATCTCATTATTATGACTGCAAATGGTTATTATATTAAAGCAAGACCATTTACGTGGTAATAGGTGATTGATTTCTTATCATACGCTCTGAGGAATATATGCAGATATTCAATGGAAACGCTATATCTGTTAATCCTCAGAAATTCTGATGTTAAACTGAGAGGTGCATTAGGAAGTAAACGGTTCAATCTTATAGTCCATGTTGACCAAAGATATGTGTACCGTTTATACTATGCATTTATTTACTTGAAGCAATCTCTCAAGGAAATGTACTTTATTCTTGAAACACGTTCATATTACGTAAAAAAATTTACAAGCCCTCGTTTGACACTTATAACAATAACAGGGTTTTGGATTTTGAATACAATATTTGACCATGGGTATAACAAAATTGGCACCACGTTTCTTGACATAGCGCGTGAATCTGCTTCATGTCACTAACTTATCACATTTTGATTTTATTTGAGGGTTATGTGGCTGATTTTTCTTGCCCTTGTAATAATGCCACCAAATTTTTAACTCACTTTACTATTGTATTTGATTTCTCCTGAATGGTAACTATTCGGGTGGAAGTTATTGGAAAATTGTATTTTTTCCTAGCTACAAAAATTCAGTTTTTTATTGAATTAATTTTCGATTTGTTTAATGGAAGGTAATATGTTGTGAGGAGTGTTTTTCAGCGCCGAATTCTTTTAATTTACCTTAAATGTACGTCTAATTTGTATCAATACTGGAAGCTTTAAACCAGCAGGATAGCACTTCCATGTGTACACTGCACTCATTTCGGTAATAATTCGAACTGTCACATTACAACCTGTGGACGAAAACCATGTTAAACGAATTAGCAAATTCACTGAATTGGAACTATATTTCTCAAAATAATTGATTAAAAATTTCACTCATTCACTTGGTAGTAATGTTGGTAACACAAGCGCTCTAGTTTAATTCCAGAGACGCAATAAAAACTTCCAAGCCCACAACTTGAAGTTGTGGCCGCTTACAAACTTACACACGGAGAAAAATGGGAGGCAATGTTAACTTGAGTGACCGAAATTTCAATTCAACTCGTACATGACAACTCTTATGAACTTGATAAACAACTTTGAGTTGAAATATTGCACAAGTTAATGGTATTTAAGAAGCATTTTATTTTTATATACAAACCGCAGGGCGCGCTTGGAGAAGCGGTGGCAAGGCATCGAAAAGCCATTGCAGGCCGCATAGAAAGGACGGGATACAATCAGTAATTTGTCTAACGTTGAAAAAGAATTCCCGCGCTGACAAATACTTAGCTTACTATATAGTGATTCACGGTAACTTCCTAATTTGAAAACACAATAAGAAAAGAACTACTCGTTGTAAAGATATCTTTTCGATATGAACTTTGTTAAAAAATACATTAAATAAAATTTGTATCACTAAGTTCTAAAAATGACAACGGTCAGATGATGGCCCACATTGTTGATGCATTTAGTTAGTCGATTTATGAAGTTTCGTTCAATTCGCCGTAGCTTTTTGACGGGTATGTTGGCGATGGCTTGGCATATTCTGTTTCTCAAATGAGGTAGGGTCCTTAGACAGTCATTATAAACAATTATTTTAAGATAACCCTTTAAAAAATCACATGTAGCCCAATCGGGGTATCGGGCCGGCCAATGAAGAGTCGCCTCTCAAGGAGATAAGGTGAATAAAAGCGTGTTCATGTGCTTAACGGTGTGGAGAACGCAGAAACGCCTCTCTAATTCTCTCTACGTTTTCGAGTGTTGTGGCAGTCCGATGACCTCCAGATCCTCTTGCGTTCACACTTCACTTGCCCTTAAATGTGTTCACCCACTTAACAATCGATTTCCTCGATTTCCGATCAGGAACCCGACCTGAAAGACGAAGACGGAATCGAATGCGGAATGCTCGTTGAGTAGCGATAATGGAATGGCCACAAGAAAGTATGCCTCGACAGCAAACGCACGCTGCTCACTTGTCCAATGCATATTGGCAACTGTCTAGGTAGGACACAAACGTCATAACCTTGCCTCTCAGACGAAATATTTTTCGTCCTTTTCCTACAACATTTGACTGCTTGGCGTCAAATTTAAAATAGGAAATTTCCGTGAATCGCTCTGTATCAAAGCAGAGCTGAACTTAATTTACAGAAAATCATTGACAATCGGTGACGGCGTAGACGATAGTATCTGTGCAGGCAACTAACGGTAGCACAGGCGACGGACGATAGTGCAGACGACATAAGATGATGCAGACGATAGCCAGGCTATCACGAAACTGTAATATCTCAAAAGAGTTAATGTTGGTAGTTTCTTTGACTTCTTAGTTTAAAAGTATGGTTTCAAGGTACATTCAGTCTGCTCCATCCGAAGATACGAGCGACAAATAAAACTTCTCAACAAGACGGTTGGTTCTGAACGTCTGATGTTCATCCTCCGGGTACTAAGTTTGACTCAGTTCTAGCTTCACCATGTCTACCTCAATGCTCCTGCCTCATTTATATGACCAACATTGTTTTTAAGAAACTCCAGCGATAATCACAGAGTTTTTGATAAGAATTTTGTTGGTAATTTCTAATTTTTAAACATAAAAATCGTCTAAATAATTATTTGAATATACTTTTGATTTTAGCATATTTTTACAGAATGGGGAATAATTCTGTTCGCTTCGACCTTACTTTACCTTTAGAGTCTTTATTGAAATCTCATTAAGTTTACTTCTACACTTATCGGCAACGTAAAGTAGATTCTTATTATACATTTTGGCAGGATAACTAGAGGGCAACATAAGCTTGATTTTAGTACAGCCGAATATTTAGTTTTGAAATGATCAAAATAAATAAGATATATGTAATACTTGTTTCGTTTCATCTTCTCTCCCTGTTTTTACAATTTTTAATTACTGCCAATTCTCCGTGCCCTGGCTTGAAAAGCAATCAAATTGATGCTCTACCTTCCTCAGACAATTACCTTCCTCAGAAATAATTGTCGATGTTAGTGATGCTGATTACCTTATTGGCTTCACTTCTTGCCTTTACTCTGCACAGGTGTGTTCTTAGAGGCCAAAGACAAATTCTTTATGTTACTTGTAATTTCGGTCCATCGCTATTCATGATCATATTAGCTGCAATCGCTAATACATAGGATTTTGCCACCTCTTATGCTGACAAATAGACAATCATCCTCTGTTCATCTCAGGCTGTCCATTTTTCCTCGCGTGGCGCAACAGAAATTCAAAAACTCGATATATTCTCAGAAATTCCATAGAATTTATTAGTAAATGAACAAAATTAGTTATGCACAATCGTTGCCTCTATTCTAAAACATTAATATTATATTATTGCTAGAAAATATTTTATAAATAACCGACTATTGTTACGATGCTCTCATTAGATTGTGAGTAGCATTTAATATTAGCAACGAGATTTACTGGTGCTCTTGCTCGTATAAAATCATAGTTTCAACGCAATACTGTAGGCTTAATTTAAGCTTAACTAAACGAGCCCTCTGACATCCTCTGTATATCGAGGTCGTGCTAAGAAACTTGTACATTTATGTTCTGTATATCTGGCAGTTGAGAATCGTTTTAGCTTTTAAACTAGATTTAAGCCTTTAAAAGCATAACATTTTTTTTGCTCGATGATTCTCTATTAAACCTAAATCAACTTTTTACTATAAATACCCTAACTATATGGCGGAATTCAATTGGTTGGTCTATCAAATTTTTTTTAATTAGAGAATTTTTGTAAATGCGAAGCTTTGCCAAACTAAGAGTGCACGCGTCGCCTTACAACGAACTCAATTGATTGATAATATTGTCCACAATACGCTTGTAAAATGGGACTTGATTGTTCATAATTGCTTTAATTGCCAAAAAGTTTGAAGCTAAATCAACACGAACATTGAATATCGACTTTTAACGGTTCATAGCTCCAAACGTAGATGAAAGAGAAGAGATTTTATCAACTAATCCAACAAACTCTAGATTATCTGTGCTAATTTCTTAGAGTTAAATCAATTAAAGTTGTAATTTAGGTCCCTTGCATTGCGTGTGATTGCTTAACACAGTGACAAGCAAAGTGACGAAGAAACTCAAAAAGAGCGAGTGCTCAAACCAGCATATATACTCTATTTCAAGTTCAACAAAGATGATTAAATTGTGACGTAATTGTTTAAAATTACAGATGGTGAAGGTGCGGTGGCAGATGTCCTAAACATTAAATCTTCAATTGATCTGCAGTAAATATCGTCAGGAACTAAGATTCATGCAAACTCTCTTTGGCACTAGAAAGCAGCTCGTGTGAAGCTACCCTTGGGGTCCGCCCAGACTTCGGCCGGATAGTCACCACAGTCGGCGCCCAGTTATTCTGGGTCTAATGGGCAACTGATCTAAATCAGTTTTAGGTCAAAATCTCCTTTCAAACTATACTATATTTTAAAGTCGATTGAGAGTATGAGGAGGGTTGGCCGAGCCTAGTCATACCGAAGTAAGAAGCTGCTCAGAGGCTGCCATTCAAACCCTGAGTCTGCCATTCAAAAAAAATCCTCGAGTCTCAGGCCGATCCTAATGCAGAGCAGTGCCCACCTCAAAATTTTGTTAAGGTGAGCAATATTTGTCATTGTTATTTTAGCCTGCGCCAATATTAACCTTATCCCGATAGCAGATCTCAGAAAGGAAAAGTTCGGAAACGGAGTAAATTGGCAAACTGTGGGATATGTTTCACCTATTGATTTTGGAATTTACAATGATCTTCCAATCAGACTGAATAATTATATTGATCATTTGTATATGCTCAGATTATTTATGGTATACGCAAAAGAAACTAAGAAACTAAAAAACGACGAATAATGTAGTATTATTCCTATTTTACTTTAAAAACATTGAATAATTATTGAATTTCGCACACCTCATGCTCCGTACTCTGCCCTATAGCCGCCCACTTATCATTGTTTAATCTTATCACTATTCGTGAGACCCCGTCTTGTTTGGGTCGATGTCACTCGTGACTCGTGTGCAAATCTTGGGAAATGTTTTTCAGCCAACCTAATATTGAAATTACTTGCGTATTTCATCGATTAGATTTCTCAGAGAACCGGAAGTTGAACATATGTATATAACATACATGCAGAAAATATACAATATAACAATAATTTTATGAGTAGAATTCATAACATATTTACTGTGAAGTAATCGTTAAGTAATTTTACATACTTTAAGCATCATTTCCTCTGGTAAAGTATCATATTTTGTCAGCTGTAATGTTCTGAAGCTACATATAATTCCAGGCGCTCAGGAAGTTTTAAGGAGTCCCGACTTTCTGTCACTGGCTGTACACAGATAAAACTGAGATAGATAACATGCCAAGAGCTTGAAGTGATCACTTACGTATGTTTCTTAATTTAGCGGCACACACATTCAATGTTCTACAGTACACCTCATTGATCACTTCTTAAATTCCTTTTCCAACTATATTCTGTACATTATTCGTTATAAGTACTTATATCATTAGTCTGCTTATATCGCAAGTTCACAAGGAATTTAAAAGCAAAGAAAACGCCAAGAAAATTCACCATATCGATATTGAAAACGTTTCGGAGTCCAGCTCCATCATCAGTTCGACTAAACTAAAAATGAATAAAATCACTTTAAAAGTCAAAATTCAAAGACAGACATAAAACCTAAACAAGACCTAACATTATATCGAAATAAACAGGACTAGTTATGAACAACTTAGTCCTAGGGGTACGACAAGAATATAAAATTCTAGCGATTTACTATTTCCAGATTTATTATTCGTTATTTAGCAAAGGCATGAAAGTCACGAACAGTAAGTGGCAAAATCCAAGAAACAAACCGAGTCGGCCTTCTCTTTAATTATCAAAGTAAGAGAGAACTGACTCGTCTCACAAATATATTATAGATCAAACTAAGATTGATCACTGCTACTAAAAAAACGTACTATAAGAAGGAATGGCTTCTCTCACCTGGGATTTGATAAAAAAATTACATTCAATTTTTTTACGAAGAACTTTAGGCGTCAAAACTACATTCACATCTCTACCTGATAATACGAACGAAGTAATGGAATTTGAGTAATATGAGAAGCATTCCAATTACGTAATTATGACAACGGAAAAATGATTTCCTTAAACTAAATTTTTGGACTTGTGGGAACCGTCTAAATTATTTGAACGATCAAAGACATTTATAAATACTATAAATAAATTTCTATAACGTCTATAGATCGTCTCCGTCAAATTATTGGTGATTTACCTAAATTTGTTAGGTGACAGTAGAATTTTTTAAACAGGTGCATGTCTGGTTATTTAAAGTTCAATAAATTGATTTCCGCTGACAAAATTGATGCTGGTGAAAAAATAATTAAATTTTTTATATATAGGCTACGGGTCTCATTTACGTATATATGCCGCCAACGTATATATAAATTTTGATGAGCTTTCTCTCATTTTCAAATGCAAATATTTTAATCAAATATTTAACTTTATTGGATTCGGCAGACACCATAATATGTTTATAATTTAATTACGAGACCATTTCAGTTTCATAGAATAATTGAAAACCAATTTAATTCAAAATAGGTGCAACGCAGTTTATTTCTCGTATGCTGTTCAAAGTAATCAGTTTAAGTAATTATTTTGGTTAGCCGACAGCTATTTATAAGCTGAACTCACTTCAGTTGAGCCTGGTATGATTTAAACTATTTATCAGCTAATATTCATTCATATCAACGTTTTAAATAATAAATAAAATATTTATAGATGTGCTAGTCAACCTTCCGTCAGATAGTTTATTGATAAACTTTCTTCGCTAACCACTTCAAGGCCTTCACGAGGCAATGAAGAGGCCCACGTTTTATGCCAGATGAAAAATGAGAGAAGTTTTTCGATGACTTGCTACTTCATAAAATCTACAGAACCAAGTGTTAAATACGGGAATTTATATGACCTTTCATTCTTATCTAGCATGATAAATCACTACAAAGCTAAACCCTTAGCTAAAACATTGATTTATTGATGAATAAGCCACCCGGATATTTATATTAAATGACTACATCCACGAATATAGTCAAGTGGTGCTGCTGCGTTGTGCGTAGATAGACGACATCATGGAGCTAGTTTCTCTATCTATAAGCACTATCAGGGGACTTGGCCGGGCCACTTGGATGCTGATAACTTGTCTATATGAGCGCTGATAAATATACACGATAAAATATTCCACGAGAGCTGCCACATCATTTGTTCGTGAATTACCTGTACACTCATTTCAGTATCCGTAAGCAATTCGGAGCGTCAAGCTGTCAACAGTGTTTGTCAATTGGATTAAATGATTTGGTGAATAGACTGATTAATGCGAGCTCTAATTCGTCTGTGTTGAAGTGGAAAAATGGATGCACTAAACGTTCCCTTTAAAATTCTGGTTTCATCAGAGCAGAAAACAAACACAGTTTATTTATCGTGTGATCTGTTCATCTCGTGCGTTAGGCCTAATATGAAAACAAGTTTAATCAATCAGCTACTTAAGAAAATAATCACATATGCGGGCTTTGTAGCTCCAATATATGAATTTTTATCTCTAAAGTACAATGATGATTCTTGTTCTTTGCCAAATATTCAAATCTAGAAATGACGGAAATTCTTTTTAATATTGAACTACTTAATACTTCTCGACATACATTGTGTTTCTTTTTATGTATATTATTAATTAACTAATGAACCTTAGACTTCAATCAATATTACGTTTTTATGAGCATTGAGCAGTGACCTAGGAGCATACAGGTAGAACCGATAATACCGGCCAGTTTTCAGGAATAAGTAATCAAATTCAACCAACAAATACAAATTTGATGAGTGATCCAAATTTCAGTTATTTGGGTTGACTTATAAGTTTTATCACTTTCATTTTTTTCCCCTTTAGAGGGTCTACTATATAGAAAGCTTTCTCCTTAGTCCCCCATTCTCCACACTTTCTTCTGATCATTCCACTCTCAATCTTTTATCCTTAATCCACAATTATCCTCACTTTTTTCAGCTCATTCTAGTCTCAATCTCCCATGCCGTCAATCGTAGCATAACATAACATAACATAACATAACATAACATAACATAACATAACATAACATAACATAACATAACATAACATAACATAACATAACATAACAGCGCAACAGGCCTCACCCGAAGCTATGGTGCAACTTGGTTACTGAGCATTCATTCGTTGGTATCTTTCATCAGTATAGATTCTCGAATATTGTATTTATATTCTCCCTTTCAAAAATACTCATTTGGTTCCATGGAATTGGGTCATGAGAAATTTCATACTTAGCAAAGGTATTCAGATGAGATGAATATGTAAATTTAAATTCTCATTCTATAGGCATTTATCTCCGGGAAACGATTTTGTTTAATTACAAATGCACGTCAAAAAGGGAAATATTTATATTTTTTCAAATTTTGATATGAATGAAAAATCTGCTGTTCAATTAAAAATCTCTGATAGACTTGTGCTACAAACACTGGGAGGAATGCTTTCGTAGGCTGGCATATCGTTTACCGCTGTTGCGCTTTTGTAGAAGTTTTGTTTACATGAAAGGCAGGAGTTCTGGCTATAACTATAGTGGGTGTGCGAAGAGATAATGCAAGTAAAAATATATCTACATTTGGGAATATTTTTTACGACGCTCTCTCAGTTTAAATTGATTCGAAAATTTTTATTAATTGACCGGTGACATAAATTGATAAAATGAATAATTTATATCAGACAGGACATATCAATATTTTTGCAGCATTTTCACTTCGATAATTTTAGATGCGAATTTCTGTATTTCCTTGATTTATTCCATATGCGTGACTTATAAGTCGTATTGTTTTCAATGTATTATGAAATGTATTTATTCAGGTTAGTTCAACGTTATTCAACCGTCGTATAATTTGTGTTTGTTACAAATATTCGTGTTTTATTTCTTAGAGGGTTTATATTTCCATCTAAACTCCTGCAGAATGTGTTGAGTAAAATATTTCAAGATAGGCATCAGTTTTTATTTCGTTCTTGTAAATTACGTTTTGTATCTACGTTGTTAAAGAGCATTTCATAACGACGTCAAACAACAGCAGCCATACAGGATGCAAACTTCGATGTCATATGCAGTATTTCTTGAGCCGCGAGGGTTCATCAAGGTGCTGGAGTTTGTAAGTATCAGCAATCGTGGTCCTCTATAGAATATCAATTAAGTACTTTCGAAGAAAAAGATTTTGATTTTGTTTAAAGTGTAGATGATAATATTATTTATTTAATTTATTAGTATTGTAGCCTCAAATATTACGTACTGATGCAAATCAATCGTGAATCGTTATAATAAACCTCGGTCAACCGTAAATACCTGACCAGCAATAATTGGCCTAATTTATATTATCTTGTATCGTTATCATTTAATAATGACTTATCATGCAGCTTGGAACATACTTTTTATTCCTATTACTTTACACCGAGCGTTGTTGAAGTATTTTATTCGCTTAATTAATATCGAATTACTACGGCAAATCATATTTTCGAAGTGATTCTAGAAGAGACTTTTTAACGTAATAATCCAATGGCATGTCATTAAATGTGTTAAATTTGGCTCTTTTCGACATGCGTTTCTTGTAACATTTTATTTCAGTAGCGTAAAAAATCAATGAGCCTCGCTTTGCCCGAAACTGAACCTGGCATCTTCTATATGCTTATAATTTTACGAAGAAGAGTGGAATATCATTCGGTTGACGCTTATTAGCCCGCAATAGGAATAGAAACTTCGTCTAGATATTTTCTTACCTCAATGATAACATAGATGCGTTGAATAGATGGTAAAATTATTTTTCGTTTTTCCTTACTATGTAAAAAAGATTGTATAAAAATTGGACAACACTCGATGACATGTAGTGGGAATGAAACCAAAGTACTCTCAATGACATGTCCATTGCCCATGCATGTAACGGTTTTATATATGTACGTGGGTTACTTGATAAATATCTTCTTTAATCGTTTTAATTGAAAATTAATGGAACGATAAATAATGCTAACGCATGCCAAGGAGTATTAAGAATGAATCAGCATGATTTGATCACATTTTAGTAGATTCATACTTGCCTTAATCGTGCCTGTTGAAAGCGAGCTGGTCGCACGATACGAATGCACTGCAACTGCAATGGAATAAGTTTCGATTTGGAGAAATTAGTCAACTTCAAAACCATAACACTTTTCGTGAGCTGGCTAGCTGCATTAATATGGTGAATGTTTTGGACGAGCAATGATAATAGAAATGAGATTGACAATTGTAATAAAAGTTAATCGAATCTAAAAACGAAATCGTTTTTGTACAAATTTTAAATATTACCTGCTTCTGAAGAAAATTTGTATTTCTTAACTGAATTCAATCGGAAGTAATATTTAATTCTACTAACAAGTGTTTGACGTTCATTTATTTCAAGTTGGTGACAGGGTTTGCGGGAAAAATTCAAGGTAGGAGCTATTAACAATAGGCCTATTATAAAAAAAATATTCTTTTTTTTTCATATGAAAGTAAGGAGAAGAATCTGTGAGGAGGTATAACTACTTTAATGGAACGATGTACTTTTGATAAATTTTCCATTCGTGAGGTTCAGAACATCTCTAGGTCGTTGATTAATAAAAATTCTAAAATTGACGATTTGAATATTCCTTTCGACATATTAATTTATTCATCGATATTCGCTTCATTTTTACTTAAGAAATTGTTAAACAAGCAACTTTGGGTAGGCTAATAGTTTGCTCATGAATTTAAGTCTTTGATATTTGCAACATAAAATTCGATTATTTGCTCGTTTTGGGGTTTTGAATATAATCAAAATATCACAACAGATTGAAATTTAATCTAAAATTAATTTGCTTAAACTAAAGTATACATTTGACCTTACTTTTGGTGATTCATGACCAAATATTTTGGTATTGAGAATATAATTCATAATTGCCTCTTGACTCGGTAGATAATCAACTAACTTAGTTAACTAACACTTGGTCTACTGAAAGTTTATGTGTGAAAGCATGATTTCATTCATAGCAACCTAGCTGTTAATGTAAAACTTGACGGAACCGAGAAGATTGCGGTTTCTACAATAATGAATCTGCAATTATCTGATCAAATTTATGTCATAACCACAAAACTTGCACGAAACTTTGCACTTGGTCAGCAAATCCTATTTTGTGTAATGAGCAAAGTTTTATCACGATGCTGTCGATCATCCATCATGAGTAAAACCTTGAAACTGTTGCGTCATTCAATAGGAAAAATCCTTAATATCACGCAACCATTAAGTTGACTTTAGATAAATTTTATCAGAAAACGCCTTGTAATAAAATTCCTTATTTCATTGTTTTTAATTTTCTAATTGTATATTTTGAAAAGGATGGTTATTTATTTTTTTTTCACTGCAAGGTTTTCGTGATCTGCGCATTTGCGTGCGCTTGCGACTTCAAAGGTGACGTCGTGCTCAAAGTCAAGTGTTCATCAGACATCAACGTCTCCAATACAACGTCAACAACTACGGTTGGAACAACATCAACAACTACGGTCGATTCATCATCAACAACTACGGTTGATTCATCATCAACAACTACGGTTGAGTCAACATCAACAACTACGGTTGAGTCAACATCAACTACACCCATCCCAGAGATCCTGTACACGGCAGAGTTCAAGTACCCATTCAAGTGAGTCACAAGCTTAACTACAACGAGGATGTAATAACTATAAATGATCGCTAAATATTTGATAATTGTACAACTAATATGAAAAAAATTAATGAAAATCACATCTAAATAAATGGGGTGTTTGGATATTAAATTCGAATGACCCATGATGGTTCGGGTAGTGAAGAGATTACCTTATAATTTGTAACTAGCTGTGATATGTTTATTTGTATTAACACTTTATTAAATATTTTCAAATATTTAATTCAGCCTTGAATTAAATAAAAGATTTTTTTTAATGAAATTCAAACATTTTCTACCTGAAACTAAAAATTTGTTATTGAATGGTGATGCTGAATGGGGACTACAGGTCAAAAATAATTATTTTGAACATGGACGAATATATTTAATTACCATAATTGTATTTCCTAGGGCAACATAAGATCTTGTGCAAATTTGTAAGAAAAAATAGAGACTGAATTAAGGTCAAATGCTAACAGCAGTCTTGTCTGATGTTCATCTCATATACGACTACGCTTTGCATGCCTTGTATTGGACCGACTTGAGCCGTATATTGAACAATAATCAGTCGACAGCAGTCATAGTGTCACATTTTCGTTCAAATTATCTGCTAGTTTGTTCGAAGAAATATTCGTTTTACACCAGAAAATTATAAAACAGGGAGTAAATATGGTTTATAATTTTTTTATTTCTTATTTAAAAATTTTCTCGGTCAAAAGATAGAGTTTGGATAAATTGTTCTAATCAATTGTTTTCGATCGCAGTCACAAGTGGCAAGGTTTGAATTCTGCTATAGAAAGTCCAGTTAGTAATTTGTTTGATCATATTATTGATATTCAAACGACGCTAGCGTTCAATATACACATACACTGCTAGTGAACATACTAGCACCCAACTCTTTGATCATTAACGATAATTGAAGCAGTCCAGGCTGACATCATCCTTATAAGAAACGTAAACGCTTAGAAATAATTAGATCGCCCAGGCTAATCATTCTAATCAAACAAATTTCAGCAAGCATGAAAAACTAAGAATGCCGTAACGGTGGCTGCAGTTTGGAGAATCCTCCTATACAACTGCATGTGACCAGACTTATTTGTGTCATGACGACTAGTTTGTCGTCACTCGACTGTAGTTATCAATTCAACGAATGAAAATTCATTCTATTTTCTGCTGCAAGATAGTGGAAATAGAGTGTCAGCAATAAATAAATAGCGGCTTCGGCGTTTAGTAGGCCGTTGGCCTGTCGCCGATTCTCAACATCACAGAACATTCACAGCATTTTGCGGTCTCGAACTCGCAACTCACTGCTACAATTCTGCTGTACTTAACCGCCCGGCCTCCTTGCCGATTCTGACCAGAAACTGGCGCACAGAGCTGGGATCGAACCCGCACCTCTCTGCACCAATTCTGGTGCTCTGAACTGTAACCACTGGGCCACCATGCCCAACCAGGCAATATTATAGAATATTGTCCAATTTTTTAAAAATTACTATTACTGCATACATAAGTTTCCTCTCCTCATTATGTTACAGGTTGTATAAATCAGAATCGAATAGCGCCATCTCATGCAACGGCACAGAAGAAACCATGACGCTGGAAGGTGACTATTCATCGACCGCCTGCTTCTATGTCTTCGTCGGTGTGTTCTCCTTCCTCTTTACCATCTTCGCTGTGGTGGTGTACGTTTTCTTCCAGCCTACATACGAGTTCATGGAGTGGATACCTATCACTGTGAGTTATTTTATCAAGAAAAAGCCAATTGTAGGTAATTATTTGCAGAAAAAATATTGTCATCTTGTGATCTTGACTTGTCATCAATCATTGCTCTTATACGGTATAATCATTGTACAAAAAAAAAACACCAAAATATGTAATTTTGGTAGAAGCTCGTCTACCCGAAACTTGAAAGAAAATAAGTGACTAGTTTGTAACTGCTTTCAAAATATTTAATTTGTCTCTGTGGATTATTCTTATTTTTGTGACTAGTCGGTTATTTTTCTCCTGTGAAGAGCTTAAAATTTGGCCTAAAAGCGAAAATTTTAAGGTAATAACACCGGAAGCACCGCAAAATTTATTTATTCCTTGTAAGGCATCATTGCTGTACCTAGAGCAATATTAGGGATGTAAGTTCAGAGTCTAATCGAAGGACGTAAACGGGACGTAAACAGTTTCCTCGACGCTTTGGGAGGAGGTGATATTCCCCAAAAAAGAAGAACTGCAGTTTTTCGTCGCCTGGGGCAATACTTGCAAAGATGCAGTATAGTGGACACCCTATAAAAATAATCAATGCCTAATTCTTTTGCTATCTTCTTCCACACAACATCTACCTCTCCGTGGGAGCGTGACAGATATTCTAATTGAGGTGAAGTGGCAATTAATTAAAAATTTCAAGAAAATCAAGTTGTGCTCAAGCTGGGCAACTCTGGTTGATCTGAAGAACCGTACCGGTGCACTCAGTAACAGAAGATATACTTTCTCGTGTAGGGCGAGTTTGGCTACCGTTTAGATGTTTGCCGTGCAGCACAAGGGGGACATTTAGAACATTTATAAATATGTAAAAAACATTTTAGCGTTCTCTTTCCATGGATGCATATATTATGTACTTAAAGTACTTTATATCATTCCTTAAACAAATGCGAATTTATTAAATTGGGTCCATCATTTAGAGTAATCCTGTATTATAAAAATAAAATAATTCAACCTTGAACCAATTCAAGTGTCAACCATCGGCTCAAATTTTGAGCCGATGAATGGCAGGTCGAAAAACTTACTACCACGCTACACAAATTTTTTTCGTATTTCTTCCATGGAGAATGCTTGCTCCATCGGAGTTCGCCTTAAAATTTGTCTGAATTCGTTTTATCACTATCCCACACTATCCGCCGATTTATCACTATATCACCACTATCCATCACTATCCCACACTATCCCACAGGACACTGTGGTGCACGGAGTGCTCACCGTCTTCTGGTTCGGCGCCTCTATTGCCTGGGCTTCCGCCCTCACCGGCATAAAGAAACACACGAAGTGAGCGATCAATATGTTCTTGATTTTAATTGTAACCATAATTGATTTTAATCTTAATTTAATTATGATAGAAGGCTGTGGGTAGAATTTTTGGCCAGTATTTACTTCATTATTTGCACAAAATGTTTTAGATAGGGAATTAATCCCTGGGAATGAAATCTTATCTTATACTTTAATGGTTATAGAATTTCTGAAGATATATTCATCATTTATATTAATCAACTTTATATCTCTTTCATTTTCGTCCGATCCAAAACTGAGACGTTCGGTTCCATTTTAATCAAGAAGATTTTAACCGAAATGTGACAAACTTTGTACAGTCCGAAAGATTTTTTACAGTTCCAGTTCTCAAAGGTGAATGAAAAATTGTTGAATCGATCTCAAAAATTTACTGCTAAACTTGAATTGCTTGGGACTGTACTGCTTTAGACTTATTGCTTCACTGCTTACTGACTTACTGCTTGGTCAATATTATTATCTTATAGATTTGGCTTTTTTAAGCTCTGAAGAGATGAAGTCTACTGTGAGAACATAGAATAGATTCACATGATTCAAGATTCAGTCATTCAAAGTTTCAACTCCTAGTTTGACAACCATATTTTTATTCAAATTTGTATGCAACTGCTCATTTAATTCAATTTTCTAAAGTTCTCACTTCTATCGGAATTCCTATGAACGAAAACGAGGAGTTATAAACTAGAGTGGCATCCAGGTATGGAAAACAAGTAAAAACGCTGGTCTTTTCTTGTAAAAATAGATTTTTTTTCTAAATAAAGAAAACGATACGTTATTTGAATCACAATACTTTTTCTTTATATTGTTTCTATATAACTGCTTATTTCTGCTTGTAATTCTTTCGGGTAACGACTAGAGTTCTTTAATCGGACCGTAAATTAATTGTGCAAGTTTGAACCTAAAATTGCACATTATCCACGTTTTCCTTACCGGAACCACTTGAAGGTGCTCAAAATGTTTACCTTTAATTGTGCTGCGCAGCAATCGATTGAAGTACGCCATGGATGATTTTTCCTAACTCCTTTATTGTCTGTAAACATGAGTTGACGCCAAGTTAGGTAGTTAATTCTAAAATGTATATTGCTCCATTTAAATAATCGAATTGACGATTTTTGAAGATTTCGAATCAAGCTCATGGTATGTATCACAATGGAGTTTGAAAATTTTGTCTTCAAGTAAGGGATACTGAAGTTATTATTCTCATAAAAACTTGCTTCCTCCAATAGGACGGATCTCGTCGCCGAGGAAAATCCTGACATTTGCCTAGAAGCTTTGTCCTGTACGGTGGACAAAATTGAGTACCAGCTGCTGGATTTTTCTGTGGTGAGTATAGCTTCATTTTTAATTGTTTTAAACTTTATGCCTGCTAATGTGTGGATATTGTGTCCGTCAACGGACTTAAGCTCATACCTGTGCAATAACTATACCTCTAATACATAGTATTTAAGATTGAATTTAGTTTCATAGAGCTGTATAATAACCCAAAACTGAAGCAAGATAAAGTTAACGCATAGATATAGCAAACAGAAACGTGGCCTGAAAATCGCGAAAGACATGTAATATTTATCTTTATCACTAGCGGCCTAAATCTGGCACCCTAATCCCAGGGTTAATGGCTTTAAATGAATGAAAGAATTATGTAAAATCTATGGCATACATTTATAAGATTCTGTTTTATTCATATATTGTCGGCCTACGTAAAGTAAGGTTGGAATACTTGAAATATAGGTACACCGCTTAATAATAACTTGAATTCAAGCATTCTTCTTGTCACAGATTTTTGGCTTCTTGAACGTGTTGCTTTTCGGCCTGAACGTTTGGTTCGTCTTCAAAGAAACAAAATTCTTCGGGAAGGCTACACCCCCGAGCACACAGGCTACTTAATTGTGGGTCTTCGGGCTAAAAGTGACCGAACTGAGGTGAATTTCACCAACAAAAGTGAACCTACAGTCAACAGCAGAGTTATTCATTAATTTCGTAATTACAACAGAGCTGATAATGGCAAGCATACCGTAAATGTCAACAGGAAATTCAAGTCAATAACCATTCATGATATCTCATTTTTTTCCAGTTTGAGAATTATCTTCCTCAGTATGCCCACTTATTTTTCCTGAAGCACAATTTGAGGCATTTGATCCATGCTTGCTGCAGCAAAAAATTATGAGTGAGTGAGCTGAAGTAGTTTGATTATTAATAAGACCAAAACGGGATTTAGGTTAGAAGAATTTTAGCATATAATGACTCACATAAAAAGCGCTTCTTTGATGCGGCTAATGTAATATTCTGATTAAGTAGTAAATTCCTCAATACTAATAACATGAAGTGAATTCCGAATCAGCGTTTTTAGTATCACGTAATGCGCGTGATGATCGCATAAAATTTTTTAAAATTTAATTGATTCTTCTTTATGTAGTTATAAATATGATGATACTTTTGATTTTTCTTACTTTTTTTGCATGCAAATATTTTGAGTTAGAATTTCGATTCTCGAAATTAGAAAAGTTTGAATCGTAACTCCTGTGTTTATTTCGTCTAGCAACCATCAAACTATGACAACACATCTAAGAATTTCTTTGATTTAAAAGAGAGTATAGAATTTTGGGATCTATCATGATTTCTGGCGATTTGAGAAACAGGAAAAAGATCTGAGGATGGGTTTTTGTTCCAGTTTTTTTTATTGCAGCAAAATATAATGCGTATATTTTCAAGAAATCATAGAACAAATCTGCCGCCTTCATTTGTGATATAAAATCCGAAATTATATATTTCTTAGAGCGATTAAATGGAATTCTCTTTCCAATACCAATTGAGTTTTGATCTTCGTGTGAATATTTGTACATGTAAGCCATGGAAATTTGAAGTAATGTGGTTTGTGATGAAATTCATCTAACACATTCGGTCGGTTTATTTTGAGATGCAAAAAATTTACTTTGTGACTGCAGATGTTTCCATACAAAGAGAATATGCGACAAATTATTCATCACATCCCATTAAAGGAATATATTTATTTTTATTGCTTGTGTGTATGTGTGCTTTAGTGACTATATTCATTACAGTTTGACTTTATTCATATCACATCATATTCATAAAAGATGCAGTTAACATCGTAGTATTTGTTCTGAATGTTTCATTGACAAGCCAGACCATTCTAACATTCATGACGAAATAATTAGATCAAATCACAACAAAAAGACATTTACTACCGATAAAGTGTCAAATAAATACGCAAACTGATCGATATCTCAGGTTGGTTTCAACAAGCTGTGACCTCCCGAGCTCCTAAGATGGCTTCATATTGTCTAGTAATCTCAGCTTTATTCAAAACAAATGTTTTAGCTCATAAACTTCCTTTCCTGAAGTATCTCATGAGAACAGTTTCCCATTCTGTACTTGAATCAAAAATTTTTTTTATCGAGTAAGCTTTTTTTGAAAGGAATGCCAGTTTTTTGAGAAATGATTTTAGCTGATATCTTAAGCTAATTGTTCTCTTCTGACAAATAATGTAGTATTTCTCTATAAGTAAATTAATTCCGACTCTGCAAACATAATTTATTTTCTGCAGCAAATGTCACAAGAAAACAGTCGCATATGTGACCATCAAGTGTGTGTAGTAGAGTTGTTGTAGTCATCATACAATAAGCGTTCTAGATTTGATGGTGACGACACTTTAATTATTTATATTTTTGGGTGTTTCTGTGTGCGGTTTATTTGACCCAGTATTAAATAAATGTTTCTCAATATTCATGACTTTGATCTATAATTGAAATAGACATAACCTTGTTTATGTATTAATTGAATAATTGTTTTAGGGGTAACAACCTTTAGCAGTTTTTCGTGGGATTGATAACTCACGATATGATCATGCCAAAGAGAAGTGTTCGAGTGCTCAGGTTTTTGTTGGACTGGAAAGCTATTAGCATTTGAACAAGCCGATGGTTATTGGCTTCAAGCTCCATTAAATACGTAATTTATATCAGATTTAAATTCATAGGAAATCGCATAGTCAGGATGAATGCAATTAATATGAATTTGAAAAGAGTTAAAAAATCTTCCAATTTCAATTCTCAATTAGATAGTTTTTGTAAATCAGTTAAATGACTTTCTAAGTAAAGTTTTAGATTCTACTTGGATACAAAATTAATGTGCGGATAGGTGTTAAAATGTTTTTTTTTCTTTTTTCCGAGGTTCAAAATAAATTCTTTTCCTATATATTTACAGAAAATTATTTTCATCTGTAGATAGCAAATTTTGACGATTATTTTTTTTGTCTGGAATATTCGTATTTGTTTTATACGAAGAGTTTATCAAATATACTGCCCAGAAATTTTACAATTATTCACGGAAAACATTCCGGAGTTCTCTCAATTTTCATCTCGAGAAGGCCAATTTGAAAATAAGGTAATCAAGTGATCAAGTGAACGAAATACTAGCCATAAACTAAAATGGTCGGAGTCTAATGGAGAAAACGTATCTTGTTGAAGAAGCACCCCAGTATGACCTTATTAAGAAAACTCACCCTAGTATAAACTTTACAGAATAACATTGTTAATCCCCACTTTCATGAACGCACCCTAGTACAAACTTTACAGAATAACATTGTTATAATCCCACTTTCATGAGGGCGCTCCAGTATAAACCATTAGAGAATAACATTGTTAATCCACACTATCAAGAAGGAGCTCCAGTAAAAACCATTGGAGATTAACTTTGTTAATCGTAGCTTTCAAGAATGCCTATAACGGATTGGAAAAAATTTTTTCTTCATCTGCTGAGCAAGAATTCAGCTACAGTCGTACGACGGATGCATGTGAAGAGGCTATTAAAAAACAGAAATTGAATGTCAGAACTGCAATGTATCAACGAATTGGACTAAACATTCAAGATCGTAAGATGGTTCATTTGGAAATGCCAGAACAAGGAATGTATTAAATTCAAACCAACCGTGACAATAAGGAAAGAATCCTTCAACGCTAAATCCAAATTTTCACTTCAAAAGTTGATTCGTGTCATGCATCTTTGGAGTGAAGGTATTGGAGTAGAAGCTGCATCTCATCAGTTGGATTTAAGTCGGACAACGATGGTAGACATGTGCAGCTTCTTCCGTGAAATTTGTGTCATTTATTTGGTGCAAAACTCAATTAAACTATGCGCGCCTGCAGTTACAGTACAAATATACGAATCAAGCTTCTCTCAAAAGCCGAAACATCATCATGGTTGAGCATCAGCTTCTCAAATTTGGGTTTTTAGCATTGTCGATACAAGCATACACCAGCAGTTGGATACATGGAAATTCTTGAAAAAATATAACTCAGCACTCACTGCAGTGAGTGACAAAAAAGCGCATTTTCTCGTCGACAGACAGACGGACAGACGGACAAACGTACATGACGAGCATAATAGCGCTTTTTTTCCGTAAATGAGAAAATGCGCTGAATTGGGATGCTGCAACTCTTCTTCTTATAATGAAAAGGTTGTTTGGAAAAGATTTATCATTCACAGTGATGAATGGAAGGAATTCAACCAAATCTAAAGCCTTGGATACAAGCATAGAACTGTAAATCCTTCTCTAAACTTTGTTAATCCTGAAACTGGCGTAAACACTCATAATAAGGAATCTTATTGTAATAAACCGAGAATCCGAATAAAGAAAATGTTTGTCTGTAAAAGGAGTATCATTATTTCCTATCTTCAAGAATTCATAAGGCGAGATCGCTTCTCAAAAAATGCTTTTGAAGCTTTATGTGATCATATCGCGGCTCAGTACTTTGCCTAAGATGTTTTCTTTTGCATTGAATTATAATTCTACAAAAATGTTGAAATAGACTTAAATTGTTTGTGTTATTCATTCAATTAACATTGTTAAGAATACGCACCTTGCTAATGTTCTTGTTAAGAATAACCAGCCAGCAAACATTAAGTCTATTGTAGAATTTATCATTTTTTCAGATTCCAAATGTGTTATATTATACTAAAATTAGTTAATTGTATTGCTGGATTAATTTTTTCCAACTTCGTGCAAAATTCTGCTAGACAAAATCAGTCCTACCCAAAAAGAAAGATTCATTTTCCTTTTTTCATGGAGAGTTGTTTACGAATCGGTCTCCATGGTAACCAGATCACGCAACGATGCCCGGCGTCGTTGCGTGTGCAACTCTCAGGCGTCGTAAAACATTTGAATAAGAACAGAGTTGAAAAGGAATTCTTCCTTAGCTCTCGTGACGGGAGCGCCCCGTCATTCGCCAATTTTCCACGAGCGGTCTGCGGACTTACTCCTAAAATTTAGCGCAATGTACAGAAACGAGTGTTGTAAATACTAGTAGGAAATAATGAAGCTTCAAGAACTTTATCGTAGTAAAAGAGGGTTGAAACACTCTTTTAGATAGTTACCCGTAGGCATAGTTATTGATGGACTGCGAACAATTTTATTTGGCGCTTCAACTGGAAGTATCGATTAGCATGGATAGATTAGTGGAATTGAGGTTCTCTGGGGCACATGAAAAGGAAATGAAGAGAAGAAATAATAAAATAACAGGCGGATGCTTGGAGCTCGTTTCCTCGCATCGACCCACGGAGGCCATGTGTCTGGATCAGAGAGTGGGGGACTAGGCCAAAGAACGGCCACTGATCTGTTCTGCTTGCGATACGAAGAGCACTTGCTTCTCATTTCGGATGTACTCTTGGGAGCATTAATGTTGCATGAGTTCTGAAAAAGATTAAAGACATTAATATTCAAAGAAAAAATATGAGCTTTATGGAAAAAAGTTCCTGGCAATGATCAGAGAGTGTGTTGGCCAACCGAAGTTTGATTACTTATCTTCTTTCGTGACCTTAAATGAGAAGTAGTGAGAGACAAATGAATAAAGAGGAAACAGCAGTGAAAACGAGTACTTCACTTAAAAAATATTAGGTCGAGGGTAAATAATATCGGAAGCTCTGAGACAAAACAAATATATCAAGAATGTAAGGTGATTATCCGATTTCAAACAAATTTTATAAAGCATTTGAAAACCATTGAAGTATAGCAAAATAGTTACCGTCTTGACACGTCGAAGTCTTCATCCGTATCGCAGGTAGGTGCATCAGGCGCAGCATGCTATATCAAGTACTAAAATTGATTGTGCAAATCGGGCCGTATTACAGCCGTATTATAATAGGACTGTTTCTGAAAGTTTTATAATTGACGTAGCATTAGAACACAATATATTATGTAAAAATAATGGAAAAAAAGAACGTGCTAATTTTTCCGATAAAATAAAGTAATGCAAGTCAAAGTTTCTAATTAAAATAAGCGCTGTAGCAGATATTGACCATCGAAAGTGTCTAAAGAAAAATCAACTGTCATTCACCAATCGTTGAGATTTCTAATCGGGGTTCAATGATATTGATTGTTTCTTAAAATTGGGAAGAGGAAATTTATTAAGGCCCGGCTCGCCATTTCCTTCATAGAGAAAGACCGTGAAATTTAAATAAAAGAGTTTGGGCAAAATTTGATTTTTTAATGTTCTTTACATACGATAATCATAGGAATGTAATTTTGTTCGCCTCAATTGCTCTCAAATTTTCAAGTTGCTTTTCCGAAAAACTCAGTGTAAGGAGGACCAATATTGCCAATTTACCATGCAGATGAGAACCCAAAAGGCGAATAATGTTTTGAGTTTTCGGCGTAAAACCCTGCATCTATCAAAGAAATCATGCACAGGAGGCAAAAAGTTGAGTCAAGGCAACCAAGCCACTTTGGAGTACAGGTACGAAGAAGGCAATTCATTTCTAAACGTATGCGTGGCAAGTATAAACCTGCACGTTCACAACAAACAGTTCGAAGTTAAATCGGAGCTCAATACAATTAAAAAAGCTGAAAATCTTGAAACTAGTGAGAGTTTGGAGATTCGAGATACTTTTGAGAAGAGTTTTAATAACAGAACCAGAAGAGAATTGGAAGCATTGCAACCAAGAGAAGGCAAAGATGTAACAGAGGATAAAAAGTCTTCGGCATCAAAGACCACGAAGCCGGAGAAAGTCGTCAAAATCAATGTACCAGCGGAAGACGGTAGCTGCTTACTTCACAATTCAGAAAAGGAGAAAAATTCTGCCCGTGATTTTAAACTCGATGAATTGCGTGCATTCGTAAACGAAATTCTGCTCGATAATAATCGGACCAGTGGAGTGCGTTATGGCGTTTTGCCAAAGCGAAAAGCTCATAATAACTCGAAGCATAGCGCTAACGAATCTGTAATAAATGTTCAAGATAGCATTACAGATGCTATGGGAGGGTGAGTCCTCAAAACACATTCCTAATTTGCCTGAACTTATACGAGCTTATAAAGCCAGAACCAGCGTGGTTCTTAAAGCTGGCATTTGATGCTTAATTAGAGAAATTTCTAAGGTGATTTAGTGATCCATGCTTGCAGTTTTTTCTTAACGACGAGAAAGTGTCTCTTATATTAAGCTCTGCATAAAAGTATCGTGATATATCCACATAATAAAAAATTAAACTGTGTTTTTTACTTAACGAAGACTCTGGAATATTTAATGACTGTTTTGCCGAATTATCTGCATGTCCTAAACTGATGCATTTTCCATTTTGCATGTCAAAAGACTGCTTTAAATAATTAGCTTGCAATCATAACTGCTTAACTAACATTTTAATCGTTGCTGGTGTTAGCATAACATGAAGTTTGCATAATTGAAATTAAAAGATGTATGGGAAGTAGAGTTTCAGCAAAAAATAACGGAGTTCAGCGTCAGTT